ATAAACTAATTGCCCCAGCGCCTGCAGTTTTTCGTTTTAATTTTATTCTTTTTAATAGTCCTCAAAAATTCCATTCGCCTGAGAAGTGAAATTTTTGTCAAGATTTCTCACCTATGAACATACATATGTACACACATATACATATGTGTTTGTATGTATGTATTTATAAGAAAAAAATAGGGAGTATTATTCATACCAACAGATGCGGTAATGTTTCTTGTTCTTGTTGTTGCTTCTTTGTCTGACTTTTTGGCGATTTTCGGTTTTGTTTTGCTTTGCCCGGGTATTTTTATAAATTTTTGATAAACAGAAAAATGGTTCACGTCGACAAAGTCGATTACCTCATATGAAATATTTGCTGTGTGTTGACACAGCCCGAAAAAAAGGAGTAGGTGAATTTGAGACGGTTTTATTCGGCAATGGCTGTGTGCCACGCCCCTTGTCTGGCTTTTGGGGCCAGGTCGGTTGCTAAGCTTTAATTTTCCGGGATATTTTTAGTATCTGTCTTTTTTTTGATGAAAATCCCTGTGTATCAGTTTTTGCACTCTATTAAAAAAACCTCACAAAAGATAAAGAAATGGAAGAATACAAATACAAATGAATTTTTGGCTTCATTCATCTATTGATATTAACATTTCCTTATGGTCTTATCATTACTAAGATTATTATTCAACATAAGTAAAACTAAAAGATCAAAGCAGCCTATGATCTTTATAAATCTTTTTAACCTTCTAAACCAGGTAAACAATTGGTTTCTAATTTAACTGTTTTTATTTTTGTTGTGTTAATATCGATTCTATCCAATAGAATCATGGACTTGGGAAACTTCAAGTGGTTCAACTTTACCATTACAAGAGTGTAATATTTTATGATTAATTTTTGTTAAATTGTTAGATGTTTTATTATGCAAATACATTCTTATGTTCATACATACATACATGCATATATAATTTTACATTATCGTAACATTTTAGAAAATTAAGGAAAGCTTAAATTTAAAACTATTTATAAAATTATAATTTCGCTGTAATATTTGATTGTTTTTCCAGGGTATTCAACTTTTCGCCTGCTTTTTAGTTCGCCCTCCTTGGGCTATACTTTTGTGAATTTTCCCTGTCGTCGCCTTTTATTGTTATTACTACTACTACGTTTTTTTTGTTGTAGTGTGAGCTGTGCTCTGCCCACGTCACTGCCTCTGCCGGCGTCGCTGCTTTTCGACGATTTGCGCTTTGCGTTGCGCTTACTCACAATCAAATCTCACGCCGCATTTTTAGTCTCAATAATAACTGAAACGAAAAACACGCGCAGCCAAAACGAAGCGCAAACCAAAAAGGAAAACAAAAGAAGCGAAAAAAGTAAAGAAACGGGCAGAAAACGCAAAGCAAAAACGACGACACATCGTCAAACGTCAGTTGCCTTTTATTTATTTTATTCCAACACTCTTTCTTCCTTATTCAATTTTTTTCTTTTCTTTATTTCCGAGTGTTTATGTGTGTGTGTGTGATCATTGTTTTTGCATTTCGCGTTTGCTCAAATAGTAAATTAAACTGTATTTAATGTGTTAGCAAGAGGGGATGGGGAAAAAGAGAGGGGGCGAAAGCACTCGTTCGTCGTCACTCGTTGCGTTTTCTGTTGTCGTGGGTCGTCGCCTGTTGTTGTTGATGTTGTTGTTGTTGTTTTCCACTGACTGGGTCGCTCTCTCTCCTTCGCCCTCACGATGCTTGTTGTTCCTGTTTTAGTTGTATTTGTTGGTGCAGCATAATTAGACGCCGTGGATTTCTCGCGACTTTGCGAGAGTAATAGCACTGCCCGCCCTGCGGTTTTCCCGCTAGAACTGGCATTTTTATGAATGGCAGGTGCAAAGACAATTGGAAATTAGTTTGGTTGAAATATTTTTGGACACAAAACCATTTTAGGCTGAATACTTAGCCAAAGCATTTACAATAGCTCTGCGAAAACTATTACTTTTATTTAAAACGGAATACAATAAGGAAAATGCAATAAGTAGGTGTTTGTACTTACAGATTTTTTTTAAATCCAGATATTTAGCTTTTTTGTACAGTTTTAGCCCTCTCTTCTCTGCTCTTTTTCAAGTTCTCTATGTTTTTTCGTAATTGTTTTGTTTTAGCATTCTCGGCATGTTAATTTGTTGTTTCTCGTTGCTTTTTGTGGTGATCTCTTTTGTTTTATTTTTCACTCGCCGTTCGTTATCAAAAGGGAAACAACAAAAGGCAAAAACGACAAACAAAGACAAACCGATAAAACGTCAAAAAAGCTTGTCGCATATTTTGTCCATTTTTCTCTATTTCAAACTCACAAAGCTTTTACACAGTTTAATAAATTCTAAAATGATTACGAGTTTGTTTAGTATTTCTGATCGGAAATGGCGAATTAAAGTCCAATTGGGAATGTTGAAAAATAAAAAGGGGACAGCATTTTCCGATAATTTGTGGTTTATATTTTTCTTATCTTTTTCGGTTGACCTAGTTGATTGAAATCGTAAAAAAATGTACATATGTATGTACATAAATTTCTAGATTTTGCACATTTTACACCTTCAACAACATTTTCATTTTCCTTTTGTTTGTTCGCGATTATCTCGTGCTCCTTTGCCTCGTCTTCTTCGTCTTTTAGTGTCTCTGTTTTGCTCTTTTTTTCTGATTGTGCGACAACTGCTTAACAATTTACAATTATGTATGTGTGCCTGTATGTATATGTATGTATTAATAAACAGTAAACTCTCGGATAATGTTATATACTTTTTTATAATTAGATTAAAATAAGATTAAACCGAATTTTTTGAATCTTAAAAGGTTTTTATTATAATCAATTTTCAGAAAGATTATTTGAGTGTCCCGAAAAACGTTTAACAAGTATTGAACATTTGTGTCAGCTTATGCCTAAAAAAGCCATTAATGTACATACATATGTACATTGTATGTTAATTGTACGTACATTAAAACTATAAATTTAGACAAATTGGTTTAAGTAAATGAAAAATTAGTCAAGCTTTTAATTTATTTTTGTAAAGAATTAGGTTTAGCTGGTTTCTCTTTAAAAAGTTTTACTGTAGTTTTGTGTGCACTTCTGACGATTATATAGCCGTCCGTTTGTATTTGTTGATTGACTCAACTTGACGACGACACACGCGCGCCCAATTCACAAAACTTTTGTTTTATACACCGAATCTTTTTTTTCTCAGTTTTGTTTTTTTTTATTTGTTTGTTATGCTGCGCGATTACGTCAGCTGACATTTGGTTTTTATTTTTCGGGGACTTGGGAAAGCATATGTACATATGTGTGTCCACATATGTATGTATATGTATGTATGTACACTCTCTAACTAACTCACCCGTTTGCAAAATAAAAAAAAAGAAAAATAGGTAGAGGTGTATAGAAAAAGTTAATCACTTGGCACTGGCACATTTGTGTTGTTGGCTTGTTTCGGGGGAAAGTTGCACAAATCAAATGAAGGAAAATCAGCGACGAATCGCAAAAAAAAATGCAACTCTCAAACTCAACTCATCCATTAAAAACTAAGGAAAAATCGCTGGAAAAACTTCAGAAAAATAAGAAAACGAAAAACCAGTAAAAATTGTTGGCCAGAGAGTTAATTGGTTTTCATGTTCATTGCTGAAAACCGAAAACCAAAATATGCAAAAGTGAGTATAATAGGATATATGAACATACATACATACATATATCACGTCATTCCCATATGCCAATGACTTTTGTTGTGTATGGGCACGTAATTTTATTTTCGTCTTGAATTTCATTTCATTGTGCCTAATTGATTTTGCCATTTGCATACAACTATGGTTAAACTTATAGTAGGGTTTTCGAGTTATAAAAAAATATATATTTCATTAAAAACTGTAATTAATTATTAATTAATTAATTTTAAAATACAGAACTAATAAAAGGGTAAATATATTTATTCTGATATCTATCTGCTCCTAGTATATTATATCTGTCTCATTCTTCTCACCATCTATACCTCTCTACCTGGCTGGAAAGCCTACCATTTGCAAAATACATAGCTGTTAACTTGTATACATACATCGGTCACATAACGGAACTAACGCATACTCCATCTCAGGCCATATCTTTTTAACAAACACTTTTCGTCGAAAGTGTAGTAATTTATAATAAGAAATTAATTTGAAATAACAAATTAATATTTGTTGGGAAAATTCCCATGAAAAATAATTTTCTCTATCTAAAAATACCTATTTCGATGTTCCATTAAATTATTTATATTTACATATATTAAATTATAATTAATATACTTTTTAATACCCAATTATTGAGCAATAAACAACTCTTTTTAGTTGGTCTTGCCTGTGGCTATAATTATAATTAAACAGCACTTGAACAAATTAATACGAGGTCATCGGGTTTTATTTGTTGTGGTTACTTTTGGATTACAAAATATTAAAGGTGTTACCATTTGCATCTTAATGTTGTTGGTTGTGCTTTGCAAAAAACATAACAAAAAAAAGAAATTAAAAAAACGTTGGTTTCATTTGAAAGAAATTGGAAACAAAATTGGAACAAATTGTTTTAAAATAAAGAAAATAATAAATTAAAAAAAAATTGATTATAAAATATGTAAGCTAAGCTACCAAATTCTTTGGAAAATATGTACGCCTTGAAAAATCAGGACAAATATTGCAAAATGTACATGTGTACATATGTACATACGTACATACATATGTACATACGGCAAAGTTAAAAGTATTAAACTAAATTAGAGAATGGAATTGCCACTCTATGAAAACACTAAAAAAATTGGTAAAAATGGGTAATAGAAAAAGATGTAAAAACAATGCATTGAACAAATGTGCAAGCTTTCTAACGCCGCAGTCGCAGACGGCGTCGCAGTCGCCATGGGCAGCGCAGTCGACGGACTTGCCAACAAGAACAAACGCGAAGCATCGGGAAGAGTCGAGAGAGGAGAGAGTGGTAGAGCAGCGAGAGCAGAGAGCGAGCAGAGAGCGGACGAGAGCAGCGGCATTTCGAGTGCAGACGGCGGTGGTGTCGGTGTCGTTTTGGTTTTGTCGGTTGCTAAACACAATTTAAGTTCACTCGGTTAGCAGACATTACACATACACATATATCTGTATGCAAGAAACCAGAAAAAAAAATACAACGTTCGCTGAGTCGCGTTCAATTTTTTTTTGTGCGTGGCGTGTGTTTGCCTGTGTGTGCTTCGGTTTTGCCAATTTTAGCCAACTTTAGCTCTCAGTGTCAAACTTAAACTTAAAGAGCGAGCAACGTGACGTGTCACTAAAAAAATTCGCGCACATAACTTCCTACTACAACAAAAAAAAAAAAGAACCAAAGAAATAAACAACAAAAATGTCTAAATACTGAGACTTGTTTTTTTTTTTGTGCAACTGTGTGTTTGAGAGTGTGCGAAAATACAAAGAGAATCAAAGAGATAGAGAGGAAGAGCACAACAAAGAGAGAGAGAGCGAGAGCAGCTGATTTTAGCCGGCAAGAGTCAGCTGTTTCGCGACAGAGCGAGATAGCACAAGTTTTTTGAACAGGGCGAACATGTTATGTCTTGCACGCCGTCTCCTCTTTGTGCTGCATTCGCTTTAGCAATGCAACAACAACAGCAACAACAACAGCAACAACAACAACTGGAAATACAAGAAATACAACAGCAAAGGCAACATTTGCAAATTCAAGAAATACAGCAACAAAGAAGAAGGAACGAACAACTAAGGCAAATCCAAGAATTACCGCAATTAATACCACATCAAATACAAGAAATTCATAAAATACCGCATCTAACAAATCAAACACAGAAAATAATACAATCACAGCATAGTAGTCATGACATACAAAAAGTTCAGCAAATACCAGAAGTACATAAGTTACAAATAGTACCAGAAAATCGGGCATATCAAATACAACGAATACCGCAGCAACAACCGCTTGTATTTAATCATCATCAAATCAATGAACTACCGCATATGCCAACTTTACAAATAACTTTGCAAAGTCAGCAAAAAATACCAGAATTACAGCCAATACAACAACAGTTACAGTTTCAACAAATACAACGTTTACCGATAATACCAGAAATTCAGCAAATACAGCAATTTCAGACTGCGCATCAAAAGCAAACAAAAATAAGAGGTGCTACAACAATATCATATAACAACAACAGCAGCAACAGTAGCAGCAATAGCAACAACAACTATTATAATATTCACATCAACAATAACAATAACAGCAACAGTAACAGCGGCAACAACATAATGTTAGCCTCTGCTGCCGCAAGAAAACGCAGTCGCAGCGCGAGTAACGGCAGCAAAAGCAACAACAAAACGGCCAGCGGCCGCAAATTAACGAAAAGCGTGAGTGTTTGTTGTTTCTATTTATTTTTTTCTCTCGTTCTCTCTGTTTACATTAAGCGGTTTCTCGCCCGTGCACGTGCTATTCATGTGTGAGCGAGAGATCAAAAGAGAGAGAGAGCGAATAACAGCGCTTTGTGCTGAGCGCCCAGCCTTTGTCGACTGCGCTGCCGAGCGTTAACAGCGACGCTCGCAAAATTGGGCCACATACAATACGAACAACAACGAAAACTAAACTATGTTAATGTTAACCCAGTGGGAATTAATAAACTCAAATCAAAATAGAAACAGCGATAAAAAAGCAGTGGAAGAATCAGGAGAGGCAATTTTAATTTAAATGATTATTCAATTGATATACAAAAGTCCATACATGAACTTTTGGGGACTTGAAAAAATTTTCGAGTGAAACTCAAAACTGATAAGAACCAATAACACAAATTTGTGGTCAGGAAAAATAATTGATAATAATCAAAAAATAATATAAATATATAGAAATCCTTAAAAAAACTTTAATAATTATCAGATTAATCCTGCTATTAATTAAAGTATCTAAAAATGTTTGAATTTTCTCAAATTGTTCCTATACCCCGCCTTTTAAAATGGGGTTAATCAAGTGCTTTTTATTGTAGCACTAAATTCATTTCCCCCTTTTTAGATAATGTTTATATTTAAATTGCCAACCATTTTCAATAGCCTGAATTTAAAGCAACAACAAGACCGAACATTTTATTCATTCATTTTTGTAGCAGATGTTGCGCTCTCTTTTCGGCTCTCTCCCATCTTTTCTCTCTCGTGCAACTTCGTTTCTTCTTCGGCTTGTCGTTCGTGTCTAAAAATAAAACAGCATGTGCGATTACATGTGAGTGTGTGTGTGTACACTCTCTCGCTATTTGTTGTTGCTGGTTATTTTTTGTCTGTGGGCAAAAGGCAATGAAAACGAAAATTTGCGTGACGTCTCTCGACCTTGACTCATCGACGTGAACTGTTAAACTGTTAAAACGCCAGCAGAAGCGACAAAGCAGAGCGCGAGCAGCGCTGTCGGCGTCGCAGTCGAACCGAGTTGCGGTTCGATGTGTTTTTACTGTGCTTTTTTTTTCTGTTTCGATTTCAATTTAATCGGTTTTTTTTATGTTTTTGTTTTTTTTCTTTTGTTGTTTCAATATTATTATTATGTTAAATAAAATATTTCTTTTTATGTTTTTATTTAATTCAGTTTAAATAAATTGTTTCTGTTATGTTTTAAGTATTAGCTTTTTCTACTACCTTTTCTTATGTTTTTCATTGATTTAAAGTCAATGTCTCTGTTGTTTTTTTCGTTTAACATCAAACCAGTTTAAAAATGAAACAAATTTACACGCTTACAAATGTCTTCTTATCAACAATAATGCCAAAAAAAAAACTGGTTCGCTTTGCTTGCGATTATTTTCCTTTAACTGCAACTGGACAGTGAAGCTTCATACACTTTTATTGGAAGCAACAAATAGTACAACACAACAGTAGTATTCAACTTCTTTAATCCAAAATACAGTAAACGATGCATAGAAAGAAACCATTGAGAAGAATGTTTACCATTTAAATCAAACGAATACGATCTCACCTAATGTTAACCCTTGATGAAATTAAGTTATTTATTAAGAAACTTTTCCTGCATTTTTGTTGTTATCTGAATTTGTTTAATGTTTTTAGAAAAAATTATGTTCTTTATTTATGGATCTGGTTCTGTAAATTGCAAAACACTACTAGAAAAGAAGCGTAAAACTGTTTTTCAAGCACTATTGGAATGTGTCTCTCCCCATCATCTCTTTTTATTTTCTCTCTTTCTCTCGTGAGATTTTCTCTCAATAAGAAATGCATATGCGTAATGCATGTGAGTTCCGTTGGTTTTTAGTGCCACACCCACACAACGCCCACCCACCCACTTGCGTCTCTCTTCCGCTCTTCTGTTTCCTTCTTGCCTTTCGAGTTGTCATCCTTCCAGACCCCTATTCCTCTATCCGCTATTTTATGCTGTGCACAGGGAAAAATGTACAAATGGCAAAATGGATTCGATTATATTTTTGAAATCTTTTTGTCCAAATATTCTCACACGTTTCATTTCGGATTTTCATAATATAATATCTAATGTCAAATAATATAAAACAAAAAAAATATAATTCTAACATAATATCCAATTTTTAAATATAGAAATATAAATAAATATGTTATTGATGTAAAGATTATTATTACATTTAAGAGTTGTATTTGTAGTAATATTTAGAATAAGCTATTCGGGGCTCCCTTATTTTTTTGTGTAATGGCACATTCCATCTCGGTCCGTATTTCCATTCCACATTTGCTCCTCTGCTCTTTTCGCATGCACCTCTCTTCCTCTCCCTTTCGCACTGCAGCGGAGCATAATCATCATCATAGATTTATCTCATTCACGCGCACGTGAGGCAAAGGCAAGGCCCAAAAATTAAGTCGTCGTCGTTTGTCGCTTTGCTTTGCGCTTCTCCTTTTGCTCCCCATCCTCCTTCTACTCCTTCGTTGCCCCTCTTTCCCCATTCTCCTCCTCCTCCTCCCCCTCCCCTCGTTATCATCAGTTCATTTCATTGTCTGGCCTTTCGTTCGTCTCGTTTTTTTCTCCCCCTTAGTCCCTCTTTCGTCCCCTTCTTTTGCTCGCCTTTTTCAGTTTCTCGGTGTTGCCAATTTCGTGTTTCGCTGGCCGTTACAATTTTCATGCTCTGGCCATGTTTGGCAAGACTTTTTTTTTAGCTTTTTCTTTATGTTTCTGTTTCTTGTTGCTGCCTCTTCTCTTTTGCCCCTTCTCATTTTGCAGCGGGCAATCATGCGACAGCTGTTGTCTAAACAAAAAGAAACGGGAGAAATAGATGAAAAATAAAGGGGATAAGGAAAAAGGAACACATGTAAAAATACAATCCTAGAATTTGTAAGCCCTTTACATAAAAATCAAATGTTTATTTCTGAATATAATAATTCAAGTACACCTACGATTCTATAACTTCTAAATGTAATAGCATATACAAACCGCGGTGCTTAAATAAGCTACTATAGTTATCAACGAATTATTTATAGTTTTATACACTTTTAAATTTCCCAAAATATCGATCTTTTGAAAACAATTCGATAAGGAATCTAACATAAACTTTTAAAATATATTAGGAAAATAGCTAAACTCCATTATTTTCGAAATATATGTTTTTTGTTAATTGTACGCTTTTTTCTGTTATTGAGAAAAAAAATTAGATCGCCATAACTTAAAAAACACTATATTTTAAAACTTGTTCCATAAAGAAGTATATTTTTATTATAAACGATAGTTTCATGATAATGAACTATCCACTCAGCATTAAAATGTTTAGCCCATTCTACAAAAAAGATATGTGGTTTATTTGTAACTAATCGTAATGTTCGTAACTTTTAACCAAATATAATCTAGAGATTTTCGAAGCATAATACTTTTACCGAAAACAAAACTAATCCTTTGTAGTGTTGTTCCCATATCTACAAACACTACATCCTATTTTTCTCCCAATTGTGTGTTTGCACCACGAAACGTACGCATATTCTAGGGGTATTAAAATGCACAAATGCTTTACGAATCGAACAAAAGCACCCAGAACAGCGTTATATTTAACTTATTCATTCCCCGTCTGCCTTCTAACCCCCTCAAAATATATTCCTATTCTGTACTTTGTATTATTTTGCTAACCAATTAACTGCCCATTGGAACGCATTGCACTACTTTTTCCCCCCATTCCACTCGAAATTAATTCCTTATGATATTTTAGAGTTTAGTGTTGAATGTATGGCTATTTTATAGCTTTTTTCGTAAAAAAGACTGCAAAGCAATAAATAAGCGTCATCAAAGTTTTAAATATTTAACAAACTATTATTTATTTGATACTAAAAAGCTAATAAAGTTTTATTAATGAAATCTAAAATATGTATGTAGTAATCCCCTTCAGTAAAATGTTTGGTTTATCATTAAGGTTGAAATGTGCAATTGACAGTTCACACTCTTTGCTTAATATAGAAACTTAATTAGATATTTTGAGAAAATTAATTAATAATTTTGAATTCAAATGTTGATAACTGTTCCTTTGTTTATTATTCTTTTTTTTAAACTTAATCTAGCTCTTTTGGTAGCTATTTTATGTTATGGGGCGAGAGCACCACTGTTGCTGATATGTGTGTGTTTGTGGTGTTGTGGCAATGGCGCCCTCTGCCGGCGTCGCCGCTCGCGAATTGACAAAGACGCCGGCTGTCTCTCTCTGTCTCCTCTCTTTCCACTCTCCCCCTCTCCCTTCCGCTCCTACAAAACAGCAGCTGCTATGCTATCCGTTCCGTTTTGGATTGGAAGTTCAGTTCGGTGGAATGGAATGGAAGGCAGCAGTAGCGAAAGAAGAAGAAGCTGCAACGCCGCGACGCTCGTTTTGTAGTTGTAGTTGTAGTTTGGCGGCGTGTGTAGTTTGCTTTCGCTGTTGTTTTAAACGAACGCGCGCGCGGAAGTTCCGCACAAAAATATATTTATCAACCAAAAAGACGACATAAAAACTCTGAAAAAATATAACACTAAATAAAGTAAAAGAGAAAGAAGCAATCGGATTAATTTTAGTGTACTTTTTGTCCGTTTTTTGTTTCGGTTTTATTTTTTCGTTTTTGCAAATGAGCGAATAGTTCAACTCGCTCTTTTGCTCTCTTGCTCTCGCCGCTCTTCTTCTTGTTGGCTTTTGCTAACTCTCTTGTGTGTTTGCACCTTCTTCTTCTTTCTTTCGCTCCGCTCGTTACCATTTTACAAACACACACGCGCACGATGAGAGCGACTGCAAAAAAATCGGAATAAACACGGTTTATAATATATATCCACATATATATACGGTATATATCAAGGAACGCATTAAGGCAAATGTGAAAAATTTGTGCAAACTAGACTAAAAACAAAAAAAGAACCAATTGTGATAATATTGTAATAGAATGTGAAAATCCAAACATACACACACACACCCATACACATACCCACGCACCCGTAGCCACGTATGTGTGTGCAGAAAAATATGCGGCGCTTAAAAAAGGTGAACGGCATTTTGTGACCATACATATACAATTTTCAACAAAACAAATTTCATTTAAAATACAAAGTTTTTGGAAGTGAATTTTGTGCGAAGAAAAAAAAGGGAAATTAAAATTAAAGTAGCCTAAGTCAGCCATTTTCATTTCTAGTTAAATTTTTCAACATTTTCTTTTTTCATTGTCTTACGCTTTGCTTTTTGATAAAACATTACACACACTCATACATTTACACATGCCACTGCATTCTCGCTCTCTGTCGCTGTTGCTGTCTCCCTTGCACTCACACTCTCGCAAACGCATGCCGCTTTGCCGTTTCGTCTCGCTCGCACTCGTTCTCGCATATTTTGCACATTCTCCTTTGCTGTCTCTTTTGCTGCCACCGCCCCCGGGTTGCCACCTAGTCGCAAATGCCGCGCATGTGGCAGCACTCTCTCGCCCAAGCGAAAGAGAAGCGCAAAAACAAATGCGAAAAGAAAGAAGCAGCGGAGCAAAACAAAAGCGGCGTCAGTGTTGCAAAGTGCACAAAGCGGACAGAGAGAGAGTGGGAGAAGAGTGGAGAGTAAAAAATATCAAAAAGGCTAAGCAAAAAAAATCCATTAAAGTCGACAAATAAACAATTGGAAAAGTTAGTGTCAGTAAATACAAAAAAAAAAAAAATTCAGCTAACGATTTTTTTTTTAATATGTAAAAGACCAAAAATCTGTGAATTATATATTTTTTAGGCCTTAAAGATTTTTAATAAGTATACAAAAATGGGCAAGTCGCGAAAAAAAATATTTAAAATGCAATTAAAGGGAAAAATAAACATTTAGAAATGAAGTATATCAAGCCGAGCTTTGAAGCAAAATTTCCAGCTTTTAACCATAATACCTAAAAAAAAATTTTTTTATACTTCATATTTTTAATAACGAAAAACATTTATTTATTTTTACTGTAAAAAGATTAAATTTGAAAATTTTAATTGAGTAAGTATTGTTGAATGAGTATCTACAATCTGGAAATGTTTAAAAAAAAATGACAATGTATACAGTAGACCATCTTAAACTATATAAAAGAAGTCAATGAAACATTTGAATTTTATCCAGAAATTCTTTGCTTTCTACTTTATATGAGTAAGAAGAGTTCTGGTTGTGAAATACGTCCCACAGACGATAGTGTGCGACATGTTGTTGGAATTTCGGAAACTAATGTAATTCATGGATAGCAAACTGCAGTAGATTCTGACTAATTTTGTTTATTTTTCTTCATCTTTTGCAGATGTCCGCTGGCGCTCAGTTGCAGATGGCCCCGCAGACCACTTCGGCCCTAAGTCATCACCATCCCAATCAGCAGCAGCAGTTGCAACCGCCGCAGCAGCAGCCGCAACAGCCCCCGCCTCCGCAACAGCAGCAGCATTTTGCTAACCATCACAGCAACCAACAGTCGCAGCAACAGGAGCAACAGAATCCGCAGCAGGCACAACAGCAGCAGATAATCCCGCAGCAACATCTGCAGCACCTGCACAAGCATCCGCATCAGCTGCAACAGCAACTGCACCAGCAACAGCAACTCCACCAGCAGCAACACTTCCACCAGCAGCAGCAACAATCGCTGCAGGGGCTGCATCAGGGTAGCAGCAATCCGGATTCGAATATGAGCACTGGCTCCTCGCACAGCGAGAAGGATGTCAATGATATGCTGAGTGGCGGTGGAGCAACGCCAGGAGGAGCAGCTGCAGCAGCAGCCGCAGCAGCAGCCATCCAACAGCAACAGCAGCAACATCCCGCCTTTCCGCCCACTTTGGGAATGCAACAGCCACCGCCGCCCCCTCCACAGCACTCCAATAATGGTGGAGAGATGGCCTATTTGACGGCCGGAACGACCACGACGGCATCAGTGACGGCGGGCGTGGGTAAACCTCGAACGCCAGCGGAACGGAAACGAAAGCGAAAAATGCCGCACACCAGTGCGGATGAGGCGGGGAGTGGCGGTGGTTCCGGCGGAGCAGGAACAACCGTGGTGAACAACAGCAACCTGAAGGGCAAATCACTGGCCTTTCGTGATATGCCCAAGGTTAATATGAGCCTAAATATAGGTGATCGCCTTGGTGGATCGGCGGGCAGTGGCGGAGGAGCCGGTGGCGCCGGCAGTGGAGGCTCTGGTGCCGGTTCTGGTTCCGGAAGTGGCGGTGGCAAGAGCGCCCGCCTAATGCTGCCCGTCAACGACAACAAGAAGATCAACGACTACTTCAATAAGCAGCAAACGGGTGTGGGCGTTGGCGTTGGTGTGCCAGGAGGTGCGGGCGGAAACACTGCAGGACTCCGAGGATCGCATACGGGAGGCGGCAGTAAGTCACCCTCATCCGCCCAGCAACAGCAGCAGCAGACGGCGCAACAGGCGAGCGGTGTTGCGACGGGCGGCAATGCAGGAGGAGCCGCTGGCAACCAGGTGCAAGTGCAGACGAGCAGCGCCTATGCTTTGTATCCACCAGCTAGTCCCCAAACACAGACGCCGCAGCAACAGCAGCAGCAGCCACCGGGAGCCGCTGACTTCCACTATGTCAACTCCAGCAAGGCGCAACAGCAGCAGCAGCAGCAGCGCCAACAGCAACAGACTTCCAATCAAATGGTTCCTCCACACGTGGTCGTCGGTCTGGGTGGTCATCCCCTCAGTCTCGCGTCCATCCAGCAGCAGCAACAGACGCCCCTGTCCCAGCAGCAACAGCAGCAGCAGCAACAACAGCAGCAGCAACAGCAGCAATTGGGACCACCGACCACATCGACGGCATCCGTGGTGCCCACGCATCCGCATCAACTCGGCTCCCTGGGAGTTGTGGGCATGGTCGGTGTGGGCGTAGGCGTAGGCGTCGGCGTGGGTGTAAATGTGGGCGTGGGACCACCACTGCCACCGCCACCACCAATGGCCATGCAGGCTGCAATCATAACGTACAGTAAGGCCACCCAAACGGAGGTGTCACTGCATGAGCTGCAGGAACGAGAGGCGGAACACGAATCGGGCAAGGTGAAGCTGGACGAGATGACCCGACTGTCCGATGAGCAAAAGTGCCAGATTGTTGGCAATCAGAAGACGATTGATCAGCACAAGTCGCACATTGTCAAGTGCATTGATGTGGTCAAGAAGCTGTTGAAGGAGAAGAGCAGCATCGAGAAGAAGGAGGCGCGACAGAAGTGCATGCAGAATCGGCTCAGACTCGGCCAGTTTGTCACCCAGCGAGTGGGCGCCACATTCCAGGTGAGAGTTTTAAAATGGTGTTTGTAAACGATGCATCTTTAACCGCTGCAACGTTTACAAATCCTTAAACATTTGTTCCTCCCGACTTTTTTAAATTAAACTTACCATTTGAATCATAAATATATATATTTATAAAGCCAGTTAATTTAGCTGTTTCTTCTCTAAGTCATTACCATTTACTAACGCACCTTACTTGTCTAAATTTACAGGAGAACTGGACGGACGGCTATGCGTTCCAGGAGCTAAGTCGGCGGCAGGAGGAGATAACCGCCGAGCGCGAGGAGATTGACCGGCAGAAGAAGCAGCTGATGAAGAAGCGTCCGGCGGAGTCCGGACGCAAGCGCAACAACAACAGCAACCAGAACAACCAACAGCAGCAGCAGCAACAGCAACATCAGCAGCAGCAGCAGCAGAATTCCAACTCGAACGATTCCTCGCAACTGACGGGCGGCGTTGTCACCGGACCTGGAAGTGATCGCCTTGGCGGCACAGCCGGCGGCGTCAGCGTCGACAGCGGATTGGGCGGCAATAATGCGGGCGCAATCGGTGGCGGAGCCGTTGGCGGTGGCGTTGGAAGCGGCGGCGTTGGCGGCGGTGGCGTTGGTGGCGTCGGAGGCGGCGGAGGACGTGGTCTAACGCGCAGCAACTCGACGCAGGCCAATCAGGCTCAATTGCTGCACAACGGCGGCGGCGGATCGGGCGGCAATGTTGGCAATTCGGGCGGCGTTGGCGATCGACTGTCGGATCGAGGAGGAGGCGGTGGCATCGGCGGCAACGATAGCGGCAGCTGTTCCGACTCGGGCACGTTCCTCAAGCCGGATCCCGTATCGGGGGCATACACTGCGCAGGAGTACTACGAGTACGATGAGATCCTCAAGCTGCGCCAAAATGCCCTCAAGAAGGAGGACGCCGACCTGCAGCTGGAGATGGAGAAGCTGGAGCGGGAGCGCAATCTGCACATCCGAGAGCTCAAGCGGATTCTCAACGAGGACCAGGTGCGCAGTCTATAAAAAGATGGAAATTTGGGAAATTTTATTAACATGCTTATCTCTCGATTGCACCCTTTCTTTTTAGTCCCGCTTCAATAACCATCCCGTGCTGAACGATCGCTATCTTCTGCTGATGCTGCTGGGCAAGGGCGGCTTCTCAGAGGTTCACAAGGCCTTCGACCTCAAGGAGCAACGCTATGTCGCATGTAAGGTGCACCAATTAAACAAGGATTGGAAGGAGGATAAGAAAGCTAATTATATCAAGTGAGTAGTAAAACAGAGGAGCAGGAAGTCATTGGGGGTGAAGTCAATAGGATAGAGTAGTTAGCAGTTCTTGCACTTTAAAACTCATTTATTAAATGATGGGGTTGCATATCCCGGAACTTTTTAGATCAGATTTAAACGAAAAGGATACATTTATTTGCAAGCCACATTATGTTACTGAAATATAGCAGGATTAATGTAGGCTTTTATTTAGGAATATAAACAGCCTTTATAAACCTATTTTAAATCAAATGAAGCATAAACTTAGGCCACAGTAACATGGGTGGGGTCGTAATCATTGCAAACAATTTACTAAAGTCTTGTCTCGTTTGAAACCCCCACTAAATATTCAAAAAATCAGACACGCCTTGCGAGAATACAATATCCACAAGGCGCTGGATCATCCGCGGGTCGTCAAGCTCTACGATGTCTTTGAGATCGATGCGAATTCCTTTTGCACGGTTCTTGAATACTGCGATGGACACGATCTAGACTTCTATCTGAAGCAACATAAGACTATACCCGAGCGTGAAGCGCGCTCGATAATAATGCAGGTTAGTAACCATACCGCTAAGATTTAAATCTTAGTTCTTATAGTAACTATTTAATTTCTCCCATCAGGTTGTATCTGCACTCAAGTATCTAAATGAGATTAAGCCTCCAGTTATCCACTACGATCTGAAGCCCGGCAACATTCTGCTCACCGAGGGCAATGTCTGCGGCGAGATCAAGATCACTGACTTCGGTCTGTCGAAGGTGATGGACGACGAGAACTACAATCCCGATCATGGCATGGATCTGACCTCCCAGGGAGCCGGCACTTACTGGTGGGTGTTGATTTTAAATAGGCTTTTAAGTTTATTTTAATTTCCGAGTGAGGAATAACTAAATGGAGTATTTCTTTTCGACCAATTTAGGTATCTGCCACCTGAGTGCTTTGTGGTGGGCAAGAATCCGCCAAAGATCTCCTCCAAAGTGGACGTGTGGAGTGTGGGCGTGATCTTCTACCAGTGCCTGTATGGCAAGAAGCCCTTCGGTCATAATCAGTCGCAGGCTACGATCCTCGAGGAGAATACGATTCTGAAGGCCACCGAAGTGCAGTTCTCCAATAAGCCAACCGTTTCTAATGAGGCCAAGGTGAGTAGTCCTTATCATAATATCAAGCAGAGGTGCTAATCCATGTGTTTTGTATCATTCTAAAACAGAGCTTTATTCGAGGCTGTTTGGCCTATCGCAAGGAGGACCGCATGGATGTGTTTGCGCTGGCTAGGCACGAGTACATCCAGCCGCCGATACCGAAACACGGGCGCGGTTCGCTCAACCAGCAGCAGCAGGCGCAGCAACAACAGCAGCAGCAACAGCAACAGCAGCAGCAACAGTCGTCGACCTCGCAGGCCAATTCCACCGGCCAGACATCTTTCTCTGCCCACATGTTTGGCAATATGAATCAGTCGAGTTCGTCCTAGCTGCCAACCAAGCGCAATTCCAATTCATAATTCGCCGCCGCCGCAGTAGCAGCAGCAACTCTAGCTGCCAGCCAACAGCAACTCCAGCAGCAGCAGCAGCAGCAACAACAGCAACTTCAACTTCAGCAATACCAGCAGCATCAGCAACTCCATTTGCAAAACAGTAGCAGCAACTATGCGGCTACGCTACTCGATGCAGCGGCCTTTTGCTACGAGACCGTAATGGATGCAGCCCACTTCCACAACAATAATAACAATAGTACCATCATCAACAACAATATGCAGACAATGCCGGCAAATGCTGCCAATGCTGCTGCTGCAGGAGGAGGAGGAGGATCAGGGGGAACACCGACCTATCAGGGGAAATACAAGCGCTGGCAGCAGCAACAGTTGCAACAGCAGGCGCAACTGCAACAGCAGCAACACAAGTTGCTGTTGCAACAAGAACTGCTGTAGTTTAAGAATATGGGTGATTGATGTGAGCGAAGTGATGTTTTGAGAGGAATGAGATGACAAAGGGAGTTAACGAGTATGAGCTGCCTGCAACACTGCCGCCAAGCCAAGCTAATGTTGCTGCTGCAACAGCAACACCATCAGCAACAAGACCCCAAGAATTTCCACAGCGAGTCGCAAAAAAAAAAAACAACAAAAACTTAAATTAAAGAAACTATATATAAATATATATATGCATATATATATTAAATGTGATAAACAAGCGTAAAGCAAAAAAAAAAGAAAAGAAAAGAAAACAAGAGGAATGCAGCAAAACAGCAGGAGAAAGACGAACACCCAAGGGGCAAAACCCGGAAGATAGGGAAAAAGCAAAGCTGCAGCAAAAGAAACCGGAAGAAAAGAGGATAGAGAAGAATGTGAAAGCTGAGAAAAATCGCTAAGAGGAGAAAGCTTGAGAAATTGTTTATAAAGGCTGCTATAAACACACTTTTTTTTTGTTAACTATAAATACCAAGCAGAATAATTAATATAAAATAATTAATAATTAAATGCTAAATGTAAATTAGTAAGTAGGGTGGCATCTAAAACAAAAAACGCAAAAAACAAGATTCCCAAGAACAATGCGTATGAGAGGAGGAGAATAATATTTTTTCTTTGTATTAAATAATAAAGGTTAACGTAAAGAAAACATAGCAAATTAGCGTAGGCTAAAAAGCACACAGTATAGAGAACTGAAACGTAAAAAACCGCAGAAACACCGGAAGGATCATAAAGACGCAGAGAACAGGAAACATTTGCAACGGGAAATTACAAATTCTTGTTTTGCTTTTTTTTTATTGGGTTATGTTTGTTTGTAGTTCAAACATTTTTACAATAACACTCACTCATACACACACAACACAGATACACAGACACTGCAGACTGCTATTGCCTTACAAGAAAGAAAAAAAACACTAATTTTAATTGCCAATTTCCATTTTGTATACATGCATATTTAATATTATGTATTCACGTATATATACATAAATCATATTCTACCCACAAATGTTTCTTTTTTTTTTTATAATTTTATGCACCCACATACATTTAATTTTAAAGCTTTTAAACGAACGATGAAACACTTATATTTTACTTTAATTTTGTTTTGTATCAAAATCCAGAAGAAATTTGATTTAAAAATAAAAAATATAAAACACATACACCGCACACGCACACACACATATACATTTGTATATACTCGTATCTGAACAACAAACAAAAAACCGAAGCGATAAAAACTAGAAACTTCATTAAATCGAATGCAATTCCAAAATATCCAAGAGAAAAAAAATCAGATAACCAGATAACAGTTTTTTTTTAATATGCCACAAAGAAAATGTTAATGAAAATGAGGAAAAAGCGAGGGAAACTGAAAAAGGGAATGCTTGCGATCGGACTCAAATCGGATCAAAAAGAAGAAAAATAAACCCATTTGAAGTAATCTACTTCTAATTACATAATAAACTAATGTAATAGTTTTTATTAAAATTATAACATATATATATGTACCGATATATATATATATATACATGTTTTTTTTTTTTTAATTTTAAACTATATTTGTAATGCACTATGCGTAACATTGTATTAAATATTAATATCCAAGGCATATTAATAGAAATATATATATAAAAACTATATAAAAACAGCAAAAAAACATGAACTACCAAGCTAAATGTTTCAATAATATGTAGATCTATATGTATGTAAATCCGCTATGGAATCTGCCTAAAGCCAGACAAAAAAAACTACAAGAGAAAGAAGAAAGATCCGAAGAGTAAAAGAGATAGCATGAGCGGGAAGGGGAGAATGCAAGATTCATTCACAAGCGAAAACCATTTTTTTCTTTAGTCTTTACAAAACAGAAAGCATAAAAAATAAACGGAAATTAGTTTTTAGAGTGCAAAAATGAGAAATGGCAAAGCGCGCGGAAAAGAGAAGGCAAATGGGCACTGGAAAAGGACGGCAAGAAGAACAAGTCGAAGAAAAAGCAGCAGCAACAACTCCCTAAAAAAAAATAGCAAAGAAAACTGTAAATATTTATATAAATAATTTATGCCTAATTAAAATAAAAATTAATAAGGAAAATCCGTAAAAAAAAAAACAATACAAAACAAACATAAAAACCAGAAGAACCATTTCAGATTTGTATGCAAATTTGTATATGTACGTACTTTCCTTTAATTTTAGCCAATCAGTTTGTAAGATTATTTTTTTTTCATCTCTATAAAGAATAATGATATGAGGATAATGATTCCGACTTTTTTTTCCGTTTAATGTAAACCGTTAGAATTAGCCCATAATGGTCGATATATAAATGTGTGTGTATATCGATGGAGCGTGTGTTGATTTAATTCGATAAAATATAAAAGGAAAGTAAGATGAAAGTGAAGATAAAGAAGATACATGGAGTATGAGAGCGAATCTATCTATAATATAATTATGTAAAATGCACATCTTTAAATTATAAATTATACATATTTAAAACAAACTATTATTATTATTATGAATTACCATTATCATTATTTTTTATTACCACTTAACGGTTTCGGTTCGATCCACAGCGAAACCACAACAACCAAGAAACAAAAACAACAACAAGAGAAACAAAATAAACAAGCGAAATGTTTGATAAAAAAAACCCACAAAGAGATGTTTTTATTTATTTGTGTCTTTGATTCGATTTTATTGAGTTATTCATATAGGAAAGTTGCCACACTCACACACACACACGCAAGCGTATAAAGCTAAACAAATTAAATACCTACTAAGTGTTTAAATAGTACTAAACGAATCAAAATATAAATACTTAAAAAGAAAAAAAGAAACAAAAAAATTAACAAAAAAAGAAACAACAGCAGACGCAGCAGCATGAAAAACGGTGGAGAAGCGAGAAAAACAAAACCCATTAAATTATTTGTTGAGTATTTTATTAAAGTAATAATTACGATAATAATTATAAAATTTAAATTGAACGAAATGCGAAAAAAAACTGAATATACATATATATATATATTATATATAAACAAATTATTTAATAGTTATGCTAAAAAATTATTTAAAGTGAAAGGATATAAAAAATAATTGCATGCGAGCGAGCAAGAGGAAAAAGGCATTCAGAATTGGCCAACGCCACCGCCCCCTCACCGAGAACCCAAAACCCACCCCAACTGTCCCCCATTTTCCACCCCCTGACCCTGAACCAACCGCCCACCCACCACCCCCCAAAACAAATGCGGAATGAGCTAAGAAAATGAAGCGATGTCGCGACACGCGGGGGCGGCTAACTGAGAGGAAAAAGGCGTGAAGAAGATACTAAATCAATAAGTAAACATAAAGATTAATTAATAAATTAATTCCAGAACAAAAACGAAAAAAGCTAACAAAAAAACAAAACAACAAAACAAAAGACAAAAAGCAGAGGAAAAAGAAAAAACAAGACGAAACATTGAAAATAAAAAAATACTAAAATGATTAAAACAAAATGGCTTTTAATGATATTTGGGTTTTTTTTAGGTAATTAGCACACGATCCTTTTAAGACATACGATTTTGAAATCGGACTTCAGTTAGAAAAGTTATGGACTTAGGAATGCAGGTTTTGGGTAATTTTTTGGCAAAGCCGTTTTTCGGAAATTTGGAAAGGGTAACCATCATCAAAATGTGAAGAAAATCGATCCAAAATTACAAACCAAAGTTTGAATGCAGGTTTTTAGGTAATTAGCACACGATCCATTTAAGATATAGCATTTAGAAATCGGACTTCAGTTAGAAAAGTTATGGACTTAGAAGTGCAGGTTTTGGGTTATTTTTTGGGAAAGCCGTTTTTCGGAAATTTGGAAAGGGTAACCATCAACAAAATGTGAAGAAAATCGATCCAAAATTACAAACCAAAGTTTGAATGCAGATTTTTAGGTAATTAGCACACGATCCATTTAAGATATACCATTTTGAAATCGGACTTCAGTTAGAAAAGTTATGGACTTAGAAGTGCAGGTTTTGGGTTATTTTTTGGAAAAGCCGTTTTTCGGAAATTTGGAAAGGGTAACCATCATCAAAATGTGAAGAAAATCGATCCAAAATTACAAACCAAAGTTTGAATGCAGATTTTTAGGTAATTAGCACACGATCCATTTAAGATATACCATTTTGAAATCGGACTTCAGTTAGAAAAGTTATGGACTTAGAAGTGCAGGTTTTGGGTTATTTTTTGGGAAAGCCGTTTTTCGGAAATTTGGAAAGGGTAACCATCATCAAAATGTGAAGAAAATCGATCCAAAATTACAAACCAAAGTTTGAATGCAGATTTTTAGGCAATTAGCACACGATCCATTTAAGATATACCATTTTGAAATCGGACTTCAGTTAGAAAAGTTATGGACTTAGAAGTGCAGGTTTTGGGTTATTTTTTGGGAAAGCCGTTTTTCGGAAATTTGGAAAGAAAATGTGAAGAAAATCGATCCAAAATTACAAACCAAAGTTTGAATGCAGATTTTTAGGTAATTAGCACACGATCCATTTAAGATATACCATTTTGAAATCGGACTTCAGTTAGAAAAGTTATGGACTTAGAAGTGCAGGTTTTGGGTTATTTTTTGGAAAAGCCGTTTTTCG